AAAATCATAAACTCGGAAGCCCGAGTTGTAACAATGACGTCGGAGGTGGCGGAGGAGAGTGCCCTGTATTCAGCTTCGGTGGATGATTTTGCCACAGTAACCTGCTTTTTGACATGCCAGGAAATGAGGTTTGGACCAAGAAATGTGCAGAAACCGGTAACTGATTTACGATCAGTTGAGTCCGCCGCCCAGTCAGCGTCGGCATAGGATCGAAGGGTGAGATCTCCCTTGCAAATTGGTAAGCCAAAATGAATCGTCCCTTTAATATAGCGTAGGAGGCGTTTGAGGAGTTGGAAATGGTGGAGTGAGGGGTTATGCATGTGTTGGCAAATGCAGTTGGTGGCGAAGGCTATATCGGGACGGGTGATGGTGAGGTATTGAAGGGAACCGGCTAAGCGACGGTAGAAAGTGGGATCTGGGTATGGGGGATCGGTTGATGGTTGGTTGCCAGTCTTAGGGGAAATGGGTGTGGCTGCAGGTTTGCAAGAAGAGAAGCCTGCTGATTCTAGTATGGCGTTGGCATAATGTGATTGCTGTAGAAAAATCCCATCTGCTGTGTGATGAGCTTGGATGCCAAGGAACATGGAAAGGGGGCCAATTTGCTAAAGAGAGAATTGTGTTTGTAGTTGTTTCAGTGTGTGGTCTATCTGCAGCGTATCATTCCCTGTGACGAGTATGTCGTCGACATAAATTAAGAGAAAGATCTGAACGTCATTCTGAATAAGACGCAGTAAGGATGGATCGGACCTGCTGAAAGTAAAACCAAGCTTCAATAGAAAAGAGGTTAGCTTATGAAACCATTGGTAAGATGATTGTTTGAGGCCATAAATGGCCTTATGCAGGCGACAGACGTGATCGGGAAAGTGTGGGTCGATGAATCCAGGTGGTTGCTGCATATACACCTCTTCTTGAAGATCTCCATGCAAGAATGCATTGGCGACGTCGAATTGGAGTATGTTCCAATTGCGTTGTAAAGCAACAGTGAGGAGAACCCGAATTGTAGGGAGTTTAGCCACTGGGCTAAAGGTGTCTTGGTAATTGATGCCGAATTGTTGTAAATAACCTTGTGCAATGAGCCGGGCTTTATGACGAGCAATGCTGCCATCGGGGTGGAGCTTGAGCTTGTATGTCCAACGGCAGCCAAGGATAGGTCTGTTGGGGGGCGGTTTGGAGAGGGACCAGGTACCTTGTTTTTGAAGGGCAAGAAATTCTGAGGACATGGTTGTACGCCACGGAGGGAGTTTAGAAGCTTGGTTGTATGAGGAAGGGGTGAGAAGAGGAGATGTATGAGCCAGAAGATCAAAAATGGGTTTGGGACGGAGGTGACCCGTCTTAAGGCGGGTTTGCATGGGGTAGGTGTTTGACTAATGTGAGTTGGGATGAGGGGGGGGGGGATGGTTGTTTGATTGTTTGATGTTGGAGCAGGTGTTGGAGTTGTGGAAGTGGGAGTAGTATGGTGGATATGGGATGATAGTGTAGGTGTTTTCTGTGTAGAAGGCCGAAAAGATGAAGTAGGATTTTGTAGAGAGGAGGGAGGAATCAATAGTTGGGGAGAAGGGGAAGGATTGGTAGTATTCGTGGTGGATTCATGAGTGGAGTCAGAATAAAATGAGTTTTCTTGAAAATCGACTTGTCTCGAAATGTATATCTTGTGGTTTGTTGGGTTGAAGCACCGAAAACCTTTATGGTGACTAGAATACCCCAGAAAAATGCAGGGGTGAGATCGGGGAGCAAGTTTATGTGGAGAGTAAGGTTTGAGCCAGGGGAAACAAATACATCCGAAAACGCGAAGATGGTCATATGTGGGGGATTGACCGTGGAGAAGTTGGTATGGGGAGGTGAATTTGATTGAGGAGGAGGGTAGACGATTGATGAGGTAATTAGAGGTTTGTAGTGCTTCAGCCCAGAATTGACAGGGAAGGTGAGAGGCATGGAGGAGGGTGCGGGTGGTGTCGAGGAGATGACGGTGTTTGCGTTCAGCAACACCGTTTTGTTCGGGTGTGTGGGGGCAGGAGAGTTGACGGGTAATGCCGTGATCTTGGAGATATTGAGTGAATAAGTTGCTCGTGTATTCGCCTCCTCCATCGGAACGGAGGATTTGAATTTGGGCATTGAAGACGGTATGGGTCATGGAGTGAAAGAGTTTAAATTTAGAGAGGACTTCATCTTTGGTATGTAACAAATATAGCCATGAAGGAACGAGTGCAGTGTGCCCAGTTTTTCCACAAATCTGGCATTGAGGTCGACCTGAAGGAACGAGTGAAGTTGCTACGGGTGGGCGAGATGGCTGGTATTTTGTATTGAATGAAGAGCTGCGACCACGATTCGGCTTTCCCTGTCTGTCGCGAGAAACAGATGTTCTGTTGGTATATAAGGCTTGATTGTCTGAAGGGGAATATGTATCCCGTTGGATTTCATTTTGAATGTGTATTTCTTCACTGCATAGTAGTGAGTATAAGCCTTCGAGATTAAGGGAATGTGGAGAGGTTCTGATTGCTGCTTAAAGAGGGTTGTAAGTCGCCGGTAGCCCATTTAAGATGAAGATTATTATGTCTTCAGAATCCACATTCGATCCAGCCGCTACGATATTATCTATAATGGTTTTGATTTGAGTGAGATATTGCGCAATCGACTGGTTCCCCATCTTCACGTTGTGGAGCTCATGTTTGAGCTGTATTACTCTCGATCTGTTCGTGGGTTGCAGCCAGGTTTCGAGCGTCGCCCAGATTTCGCTCGAGGTGGATAGATGAATGATATAAGGCAGAACTGAAGGTGAGATGGTTGAAATCAGTGCAGAGACCAGATTCTGGTCTATGAGCTTCCATAGACGGTTGTCGGTGCTCTGCTCAGATGGGCAAGTAGATTTTCCGGTGAGATATCCATCGAAACCATTCGCAGAGAATGATTTGAAGATCTGAAGTCTCCAGATCGCGTAGTTGTCACTTGACAGCTGAACATTGACGATGGACTTCAGGTTCGACATGAGAAACTTCAACGGCGTTGGAACAGTGAAGTTTGCCATGGATTCCGATAAGGAAGGAGATGTTGTGGTGCTGGAAGAAGATCCTTGTTCTCCCATTTGGATAGGTTGAGTTGTGCGTTAGCACTGGTGCTCTGATACCATAAAGAAATTCCTGCAAAACAAAGGAGAACAGCAGAAAAAGAGAAAAGGAGAAAGAGTAGAGAAACAGAGAATGGCTTTAGAATGTTTCCGTTTAATTCATTTTCGGATAATTGCTATAGTAGCAACACAGAGTATATAAAGAAGAAGGAGCAGCTTCTAGAGACTGGCAGGTTTGTTAGTAGTGTGATAGTGGAGCTGAAATAGGAATGACCCAATCGTATTGAGCCGCGTGTGTTGGATCCGGATGAACAATGCTGTTCTGCGGAATAGTGTAAATGATGTGTTGACAAAAAATAATTACAACCGCCAAAATTATACTATGTTGTGGCGGTTATAACCGCCACAAAAGCCCAAATTATTTTTTTAAACATAACCAAACTGATATACATATCCATCAGCAACTAATATAATTGATATGCATAAACAAGCACAGACAAGCGCTAATCATAATCGACTCTTTCAAATATGTAAATTAATAGTAAATCAAATAAACATCGTTTATGAGATACCCAAACTTCAAATATAAGTAAATCAACTAG